AATAAGAAAAAAAAAAAATTAAATGAAACCTCTTTAGCAATACTAGTGAATAATTTCGCAAAACCGTGTACACAAAACAACACCTTGACGACTTCAAAGAAAATAATGCACCTCATTTACCGTTAATTGCGCACAAACCGTTTAAAGACAATAGCGATAACGAATGCGTAATGAATATATTAATTTTCCATTCTATTATTCGGTACACAATACAGCTGATGTTGATTTTCCTGCACGATCTCGTGGTAGAACATCCATACAGAAGGCAGTGCGGCGGCTCGTTTTTCACTCTCAGCCGCTGTTTACCCGAACGCTCAATTTATTACGACGGGCCATTAAAGCCATCGATCGTATGAACCGTTTAACGTAGGAAACTGGCTTCAATTGATCGCAGCTCGGCTAAATTCAAAACACCTCGTTGCCGTCCAGCGTCGTTCTAGCGTCGATTGCGCGCACGACAGAGCCATGTCGTGTTTCGTCGTACCACAAATCGAAGAACACACGCAAACGCTCGACGCACGTCGAGCGTTTGCGCAGCGTGAGTTAAACGATACTTGTATGACGTGTACACTACAAACGTGGTGTCACTCTAATGACACAGGCTTGCAGTGTGTCTCACTGGCTTGTCTTGCTTGAGATCAGCTCTCCGAGCTTTTCCTAACTTAAGTGGAAACTATTCTCTGAACGTCTCTGAAGAGAGTCTGAACGCCTGTGACGTAAGCTTAAGGGAGAATTAGTTTTCCTACGGTTACTCTCTGGTACTACAGAGTGAAACATAGACTTGTTAGCTAAACAACAAAACCTATTTCACTAGACTGGCTTGTAACTGCCTCGGAAAGAAAGCGCAACTGCTCCTTCTAATATATGCATATATTTAAGTGCTTCGCAGCGACAAACAGTCTTACAAGTAAGCCGACTGTTGAAACTTTTGTCTTTTGTGTTGAAACTGGCCAGGGTAAAAAATTTTATGTCCAGTAATTACGTTTTGACTCATGTAATAATGACCACTGTCACTCTCATCGTCCTGGCCAAACCCTGGAAGCTCGCCGTTTTTACTCAGAGTGGTTAAAGGCGATACTACATTTCTCTGCGCTAACGGATTAGGAGCCGGCACATCACTATGAGCTAAGTTGAAATGAAAACCTTCAAAGCTGCTCCAGCTTTCATTTAAGGGACTACTACATTTATGTGGCAAAGAGAATTTACTGAGAGAGGTCTATTCTGTATCCTCAACGCCGATGGATAGAGAGATTTCGTACTTAGAAGTATTTAACCTGTCACTCAAAACGCAGAGAACCAACCTGAAATCTGACTTATTAAGGCTGCGTTGTTGTATATCGTTGTGCCGACTCGTAAAAAAATAAATGTGAAGTTTTTTTCTGAACGTATACTACTTAAAAAAAAAACTGCGGGTCCATATCTAGCACTGACTGATTTTTTCACTAAAATCTTGAATAGGATTCGTAGACTGTTTCGTATTAACTCAGGTGCCGCGGGCTTAGCGTTACGACTACCTTTTAATAACAATTTACAATTAATTGGTTTCACATCTCTGCGCATTCCCGCACTAGAAAAATTCAATGCATAGAAAACACTTGAAATCGATAGAAGGCTCTTCATTACAATGATCAGTTTGATGGACGTGAGTTCTAACCGGGTGTTATAACAGTCATATGTCAGTTATAACACCCGCGTTTAGTTTATGCAAATCTGTTTACACGAGTTTCTTGAATTTTTCATCAGACTTGCTAAATCAGGATCTACATATCAGAACGGAGCGTCAGTCCCCCTGGCTGGCATAGAATCGGTAAATGACAGTTTCATCATTAAGCAAAAGAGTCTGTAATTCTGTATACTGCTGAAACGAACCAATTCCGATTGAAATTCGGATTGAATAAACTCCAGTCTGTACTTTTTATGCGCGTAGTTTTGTACTGCTTCTATTAACAAAGGATAGATGGAGTAACAATGTCGGACCTTACTTGAGGACTATAGGCCAACCCCACATACGTCTAAAGGTCAGTTGCAGTGCCAGCGAAAGCAGAGCTGCCAAGCTAGACTTTACGAAACAATGCATGATAGATATTGCCTCGTTCATTGATATTCGTTTGTCTATCCATAGAACAATATTAATCCTATAATCCGATCTGCTTCACTCCAACGTAGACTCTGGACACAGTCACGTCCCCGAAGGAGACTGAAAAGAGAACACACGTTGGGTCAGCTGTTTGGAGTTGCAACTCACGATTTTTTTTTGGTTGCTTTAATCTTATCGCAGTTGCTTATATGACCTATTTGAATAGTAAACTTTCAGGAATTGGATAGATAGATAGGTCTGCATAACATTGGATTAGTTAATTGGATGGACAATTATTTTTAGTTAAAATGAATTTTCTGAAGCGGCCTATCGAATGCTTGGCCTAATATAAAAGGAAAATTAGTCGAATATCTTGAAGTTGACAGACACCCCACAGCTGTGTAGTATTTACACTGGCATGTGGCACTTTACAAGCACCGTTTGAATGAAAAATACCCATCCCTATACAGCTTGGTCGACAAATTTAATAACTCGACCTGCTATATATCAATATGACAAGAAGCTCTTTTATATCAAGCTAGCAGAATTCGGCGTGAGTCATGCTGGTGACATCACAGTTGATACTGATTGATGCATAGCACGGACTGAATACATGTTACGTTCTAACAGGATCATTTTTATGCCGTACACTTTGCTGTTTTCTATTTCAGTAACCCTTTGCAGCTAACTGACACGCGCAACAATAATGATGGCGTTGATCATTGCGGGAGCCTTTTTTATCCAAGTAAAGTTCGCTTATATTTGATCCAGCAGCCGTCTCTCACTGTATGCTCGTTACAAAAGTTATTCGTATATAGGTGTCGACCTATGAATAGGAAGAACTGTCGTTGTTGCCGTTCCAGTAGAGCCTAATTTAAGCTTAGGTCTGTTTGACATCTGGTCGCCAACGGATTTGGTTTTGCCATCAGGCTACATCAGAACGAAGTACCATGCATCTTTGCGCAGAGGCGGTAACGTACCCAATGAGGTTTTACCGAGGGGCGTTTATTGCTAGTTGAAAACTATTACCAATAACCCGCCGAGGCGACGTGAAACACCGTCGGCTATGGCAATTTTTGATGGCCGAAAGGCCGCCTATAAGACTCAAAAGTATTTCACCGGCTGTAGTGCCCTAGGCACTACAGCTCTGCACAACACTGTACCTCACGTGCTATATTTTAGGGTTTCGCAGTTGTTGTGACTGTTTTTACTGAAACCGTTAGGTAACGTGTATTCGAGTCGGCGTCGTTAGTCGTATTGCGCGAGAACCAGAATGATTTGAAGTCAAATAGAGGTGGAAGACATTTTGTTGTATTATGTATAGTGGAAATTTGTGAATCTTTTTGTTTAGATTTCTGTGTTGTCTAATGGTAAACCAACGAAAAGGGATGACAAATACGGTAATCGGTTTGTCTGCTATAGCCGCACGTGAGCCCAAGTTTCAGCTGACCATATTCTATTTAGGCAATCTATAAAGTCAAACGGAACGGAAGAATAATTGTAAGTCAGTAGTAAAAAAGTGCGATGCCTAATTGCAATAGCTGAATTTATAATACGAAACGAAAAAATAATATATGTACGCTTCACAGCAGTTTTTTTTTTTATCATCTCTGTGGACATGCTTGAAAATGTATAATAATATCCATTAGAGGTGATCAGAAATGTTCAAATGTTTAAACACGAATACGAGCCATCCATATGCACATGAAATTTCAACCTTTCCAATCTATTCAAGACAATAGGATTCTGTTGTGTGTGAAAAACCAGAAATCTAGAATATAAAACTGTTCTGTTGGACTTGTTTTACTTAGTCATGAATTAGTTAAGTCGTTAACGCCGGCTTGCATAAATAAGGTCCTGTTTATCTCGTATAATTATAAACTCTCGATTGCTTTAAAATCGACTACATAGATATAGCTGTCGATGGAAGTGTCTGCTCAAACATTACCGAGCTTCTTGAATTCAACAAAACTGTATAGCAAGGACCTGGGATAGGCATGGTTGAATGGCCTACTCTATCTAGCATAGATACTTGGCTAGGCCGTACGTACCATTTTCTTGCCTCTATCAGCGCTTCTACTACCGAAAACGAGTCGAAACGCTCCATCTTGCGAATGTTTTTTTTGACTGGCAGATTATGTTGAAGTAATAAGTTTAGGAACAAATATCAACTAAAGCATGACAATAACTAAGCATTATTGACTGTTTGGTCTTCTTAACGCTAATTATTGGGATTATCAAATGGGGTTAGTTTCTGTCTTCCGAAATGTTCTAGTTACGAGCTTCTATATTTTGGCCTTGCTGTCTGCTTCTATGTTTTTTAACATAATAATTTGATTTATACCATGTTATACACATCCACGGATTAGCACCACTGGAGGAATAGTTTAGCGACTTCTCTTAGCGGGTAGATGTTTGTCTGGTAAGTGCGGTGTTCAAACGTTGACATGGGTCATGCGTACGATCCAACGCAAACATTTGTACACGTACATGTAGCACAGAGCTACATCTTAGCACGAAACGTGTAGCATCCTACTTGAATCTTGCCTTGTTAACATATATCCACTGCTACTATATATATATATATATATAACTAACGATCAACTAGAAGTTTTTCCAGCAAAGGCAGTTTATCTGTCAGTTTTATACATTCAGACACTAAATAAACTAACCTAGAAAATTGAAAAGTGGACTCCAACCATTCAAATAAAAAGCTCTTCCTATTTAACGCCGGTGGACATTGTTAAGGGCCTCGTCGTATCGTGTATATCGTCGTCGTCGTAGATAAAAAACAGAAGCTGTTTTATTGTGTTTAACTTGATAAGGGCACCATTCAAAGGAAGATGTGATTGTTGATTATAAAAATACTCAGCATATTTTTACACTACTAGTGGCGTAACTGTCGCACAAAGTAGCACCTATCCATTCAAAATACTAAGCCATGTATGCCCCGTAACGAACGTGGGCCAAAAAGAAAAGCACGCGGCTAATTCAGAATTTGGCTGCTTGCATTGAACTTTCTCTTGTTTTATGTAGTTCAATAGAGAATGCTCGAAGAGATTTGGGTTGATCGGCGCTCTCAAGAATTTCTTCATCGTCTGGAACTGCTGTTACGGTTTTGTCTAGTCGTTTCCGACCCGCGCTCGTGTTTTTAGCTAGAAGCGTCAGAGCCGAAGGTTTCTTCGCGAATGTCTTGGCCTTCGGCGCAAGTCGGATGTGGATTGAGATGAGATCGTCTGCCAACCCTATTGTTAACGTGGAATCAGATTAGAAGCCATTCATTTCGCAAAGGCAAAGCTAAGACGATAGAATTAATCTAAATATGAAGAGAGCAACGAGATACAATGAATAACTAGTGGCAGAATTAATTAAACTATTGGCTAGCAGTTAACAAGTTGTCAACGATGTTTGGTAGCGGGATAAAGGCTAAAGGAAATACACTGGACACGTATATTACTACAGCAGCCTGATAGCAACTTCCATCATTAGGGACTCGCTTTGTACCTGTGCTGGTCGATGTAGATTCTCACTCAGCCCGCTATAATTTTCTCCCGTTAAATACGCTCGAATAAGTCGTTTTCTACTTACCGACTGAGATTCGATCGAGGTAGATACGGCGAGATATTTGCGTAGCTCGAACGGTGAGTCTTGAATCACGATCATATTGTGACATCGTATCAAACATTACGTCAAAGGCACTGTAAAAACTTATCTTTTCTAGGCAATTTTAGGAGCACTTAAAATTAATAAATGATAACATTTGAAATTGATAGAAGGTTCGAGGTACTAAGCGTAATTTATCCTTGGTTTTGTGTCGAAATACTGGCTTTTAATAATAATAATGCTTTAAATCTAACGAATTCCGTTGCCCAAGTCGACTTTTGTTGTAGCACGTGGGAAAGAATGCTAAGTACGAAGATGGGCTAAGTTTGGAAATATCTGGTGTACCTACAGATATGCGCGTACATAGACTCCTTTACAGAGATCGCCTAGCAATAGAAAGAAAATCGATGGAATTTTTGTTCTGAAATGTTGACGCTCTAAGATTTGTGACAAGCTGTCTATCCAAACTTTATATGTGTGCGTTTTGTTGGCAAGGCAAAGCATATTAAATACAAGTTAGTACCGAACATGATTTTCACTGGCACATCAAAGAAAATACGCCTGATTGGGCAACAGCGATGCAACAACGACAACATCACGGTATCCGACCGGATGTGCGACGAACGTGAGACATCTATGGGCATGATGAAAATGCATCACTTATCAACTATCACTATGTGAGTCAATCTTACATTAGCCTAATTTTCTACGTCTTTTCATCGTTCATTTTGCAGGAAAGGTAGTGGTAAAAGTGGATAAAGAGTTGACCGTCTACCCGTTTCCCACAAAGTCCTAATCTCTGAACCTTTGATTCGAGAGCTTCAGTTGATTTCAATCGATTTTATGATTATATTGAAGCTTGGCTAGCTTACACTCTCGATCTTTCTAACTGTTACTTAATGTGACGCTTCGTAAATAATAAAAATAGCCATAAGACAAGGTGTTGCCTTGTTTGTTGAAGTACTACTACCCGATTTTCTAATCTAAACTTTTCTTGATTGTATCGTAGCCTTCTGAATACTTCGAAAACGCTGGACGAAATGATCCGTTAGCCTCTGCTAACATTGATCGGGCTGTCAGGATCCAGGCAGCCTGGTCCAATACGAAATAAAAGTCTGCTTATTACTTGTAAAAAATTATTGGCATGTCGAAGTTATATGGCCGAGAGCAACCACGTTTTATCTTGTATGGAACTGCTTGTCAACATGACAGCTATCGTCGCTAGCGGTAAGTATGTGTCGAAGTTGTGCACGAATAAGGCGCTTTCAAATATAGGGGGCTCGGCTTTTCCCTCGAGAATGCCTTGCGTTGCTAATAGACAAATTATTTGGGAACGCTTTTATAACGCCCATACCCCATGTGAAGTTTTACGTAACTGCTGCTGGATTATTGTTGGCTTAGAAAAAAAAAACGCACTGGGTGTAAAGTGGTCATAGTATAGAAGTATGTCACTGAGATCTTGTACCAGAGGTTGTAATAGCCAATGCTATTAAAATGAACGGGGAGCCCCATTTACAATACAATATAGAAATAGTTTACACTCATCTGTTGATAAATACTGTGTGGAGATGCATTGCGGTATGAAATTATTGTTTATATATTCATCTCTTGTTTCTAAAGCCTCCTGCGTTTCGGCTGACAATGATTGTTTTTATCTATATCACAGAGAAAAGCTTCAAACCCATCGGATTGGATCTAGCCATTCAAACCGTTTATGGTTGTAGGGACGGTAAAGATCGATAAATAAAGGTCTTGTTGATTCGTGCCGTGCTAAGCTACATCAATGTGTTCGTGCGATCTTATTAATATCATATTTATATATCTGACAAGTATTGGTTCGGCGACCGAGACTTAGTCTTCAGTTACGACTTTCAAAGTAATCAGTAAAAAAAAAAAAGCACGGCAGGTTTTAAGTTTAAAAATCAATAAATGGCGCCAATTAGCAAGTCATCACCCATCACAGTTAGGCATGATTGAAAAGACGTAACTAGCTGATACAAAAGGGTGCTAGTGTACTTTCTTGCTTAATTATAGCTTGGTTGAGACCTTGGATTTGTCTAACCGTCACCTATTTACGACACTGTGTGTATTTTCTAGTTAATATAGTTTATCGACGGCGTTTTTACGGCTCCGCCTCCGCCTCCGCCTCGCCTAGCCAAGTGTTTTCTACGTCAGTTTTCGTTGGGTCTGTTATTCGGTGGTACACTGGCTAAGTTTTTGTGCAACACCATCCTCGAAGTGCAAGTAATAGCGCCGAGTAATAGGCCGCATGCGGTGATCTCTGCAGCCGTAGCATTACACTGGTTATGGCATTTTCGCATCAGCTAAACTTTGCTGCAAGATCCAATGGCAAGAAGGAACCATATTTCTCTCGACTCCCTTTAACGTACCTGGCCATTTTTATCTGTCTCTTACGATGATATTTTTCCCCTTAAGCACTCAGTCTTACCTAGCCCGTAGTGGTTTTTCTTTTTAGGTATGCCTCGACTCTGTGTGTCAATGGCGCCGTAGCCCACCGTGCTGTTAAGGCGTGCTGACACAGTATACATCTGGTTGGCACGATGGACAGACACATCACCTTTAGGTGAGCAGGTAGCGCAAGGCATGATTTCACGTTTTTTGATTATCTATTGCCATCTGGTCTATTGGACTTCCACGTGATTTCAGATACAAAAGTTAATATCGGTCTTACGTTGGTCCAAACGCATGGCATCACCCGATTGATACGGTCGTACTTTGGCTATGATGCTAAAGAACAGTTAGCTACAACTACTGATAAGGTTGTCCTCGAAGTGCATCAATACAAGAGTGAGCCGCTGGCGACAGGAACGGTAGCGGTTAAGGGTGGCTTACAACTGCCCCGAGTGCCAGTCTTTCTTCACCGTCGGCCTCAAGTTCTAGTTGAGCAGCTAATGCTCCGAACCAGTCATTGGCATTGATACTCACAGACGCTGTTTTGATGATTGGCTTGCAAATTTTCAGGGGAATACCCATTGAGAACGGAACGCCATAACTAAGCGAACTTCCTGGAGGTATATCACAGATGATTTGGCCGTATTTAATGTGATGAGAATCGACTACGTGCTGACTGCTACCGGAGCGAAGTTTGCGCATTTTATTAACTAGTTGCAAGGTGGGTTCATATTGATGGATTGCATTGTTGAGTAAACGTTCCGAACACACCGGAAAAATAGGGCTTGCTGTGGCTTCTTATCCATATCCGTGGTCATACATACCGCTTAATAATCCATCGAAAATATCTATCGGTATGTCACTTACGTTTTACTGCTGTGTCTCATTACAATCAATTAGTTTTTATTACTCAACACAGCTCATGCAAATTTGTACGATGATTTTGCTTAGATTAGCGTGATAAAGATCGATGGGGGTCACTGGTCGACCTTCAGCCGATTTCTTGGATGGTATCACATCAACTTCTTCATCTGGAGTATGATGTTGTGGGGATTAGTTTATAAAGTGAAACAAAGTTTAACACGTCAATTCTATTATTTATTGATCTGGCATTGAGTAGGGCACCGACTATAAACACGTGAAAAGCCCCTAAAGATTGGTTCATTCTACTCACACAACTATTTGTTCTTATGATCTCTATATGGCTCTTAAAGCTGTGGAAAAAATAGAAAATTGAACGTATTTATGACAGCAAATGAAACCAGGTTACCTGAGAAAGTACGATTATAGTTAGATTTGCCGTCGTGGTTAACACTATTGTATAACACTTCAAGAGCTTGAGCGAATAAAAAAGGCTTTCTTTTTATATTTTATGTGAAAAGTACGAAAATGAAGTGTTAGCAATACTTAGCAATGTGCAGTTTATCCCCAATCAGATAAGGCCTCAAATAGTTAATAAGTCAACGGGATAACAATAGGCTCGGTCTATCAAAACAACAGTTACTCACATCCTGTACAAAGATTTTATTTGTACATATATATATCCCCTGTGTTTATACAAGGAAGATTAAGCTTTTATTATCACACCTGGTCACTGAGACTGGTTCAAAGTAGCGTTTCGGCTATATAAATTCTACCGGATTCGATGGATATAGCAAAACGATGCTTTTCAGGTTCTACGCGGCATTAATTATATTTTATCTGCTAACAAGGCCGTCGAGCTCAACATTGTCGAGGCTGAAAATATCCAAATGTATATAACTGAACATGATAAATCAAATGTTTGTCATTAACGATTGAGCAAGCAGACTTTTCGGGACACTCAGCTGGCTACCGCATTTCGAGACGAGGAACAACGAGGAACTGCGATACAACCTGATCATAAATTCTGTGACCTGTCGGTTTCCAGCGTGTCTAAGCAACTATATGCCACAGATGCAAGCTGGCAGATATCGGTCGGTTAAAGTATACGATAGAAGCATGCCCGCAGGAACTTAGATTTGACCCTATACTGAGGCTATATTGCACGGACGCTTTGCGAGCACGAGGCTAAAGAAAACCTCCGGAGAAGAAAAAGCGTTTGAATACAATTTAAGACGAACCTTTGACAAAGTGGCTGTGTTCTACAGCGAAGCATCTACGCCGGTGCTGAACACAATCAATGGCTGCTAAAAGGCCAGCCACAAATGGGCCTAACATATAATGAGATGGAATAAATCATGTATTTTATTTGTTATACTGTTCGGTTTTAGTTCTACCCCATATATCTATATATATATATATATATATATATATATATATATATTAACTATAACCAGATTAACCTCTCGTATCGCCATAATGATATGGCTTTTCAATATATAACGATGGAAGTTTCAGTAGAAGGTGTCCGATTGGACAGCACGGTTCTTGCTATAAATTGTAGTAATCTTGTCGTATATAGTAAACTGATCTTGGATTAAGGCCTGGTTATTGACCTCAATCGGCAGCGCGTGATAGGCAGCTAGCTCAGCCTTGTTAAGCTCTGGACTATAGATAGAGTAGATCTTGCTATACCTTAAGTATTCGAATTTACATAAATGCCAACACAGAATGTAAACGGAAGTTACTAGATAAATTAAAAAACTTTGTAGAGTTTTTTAGTTGTTCCACTTTAATCTCATGCTAATTACGTAGTTCATATATATATATATATATATATATATATATAATAGAAAGTTTATATAATTAATCATCGGTACCAACCGGCGTTTTTGTTGTTGCGTTTCTTGATCAAATCGCCAATCGTTTTTTAATGTCTTCCTTCTTGTCACCTTAGGCGTCATAATTACCACGATGACTAAGTAGGTTACAAGAAGAGCGAGTAATAGAAGATGCATTGTAAAACGTGCACTGATCAGAAACAAGATCAGTGGTGGTCTACCAAAGCTGATCGTTCCATTTATGTGGTAGACCAGGAACCAGCGCCAAATTTAGGTCAATTGCCGTGCGAAACCCGCTTCAATCTTATTATTAGAAATTCAGAATCTCGATGAAGTCTCTCCTCATAATACTAGTTTCTATCAATCGGAAAAAATATATAATGATCAACCTACTGTGATAAATTCAAAAGTTCTATAGCTGAAACTCAAATAAATATATATATCCCAACACAACTAAGCTTGTTTAACGTTGTGAATTTTTTGCGTCAAAATAAATGTTTCACGCTGTTACCAGAGATATTTGCTTTTGCTTTTTTCTTGTTTTTAATTTAAACGGAATATTCAGTAATAACACATTTGATTGGTATGTGTAAGGCAATATAAGCTGCCCTAGTCTGGGATCAATCATCTTTTCTTCCTATATGAATGAGGTAACATTAAGTGAACGACTAAAACCCATTACGTGGTATCTATCAAAACAATAAACTTACCGAATACGTCTCTCTGAAACGTTGAAATTGAAAAACATACAACAACTATCCTTTGCAATTATTGCTGCAGCTTTTTTTTAGGATAGCACAGTGGGCACTCAGGCTCATAGATTGTGAACGAGTATATCCTTAAGGACCATGTTTGTTAGTAAAATACATTAACAACGTAAGGAAAACATTTCTTGTCTGTTGCTGTGAAGTTCTTAGGTTGCCAGCGTTTGTGACTTTTAGACTATCTGTCTTGTCAAGCGTACGCGGACTACCTTGTCTGCTTATCGAGATGTTTTCCTTTTAGGACATTCAGCAATGCGGAAGTCTTAGTTCACCTACAACTATCTAATACAGCCTCTTCTAGCAGGCTTTTAAAAATTTTTTTTATTGATCTTTTTTAGACGTAAAACCCGTTAGTAATGTCGTCTGTGTAGTCAGGAGTACTACTCCTAGTATTATAACATCTTGCGATTTCATTGATATTTTCGATAATATACTTAAGTAGATCAAATCTGCTATAGAAATGGCTTGGCCTCGTGGGGTCTCCAGCAACACCCTTTACATAAGGTACACCCAATCAATCTTCGCTTCACTAAAGATAGCCAAGTACTTCTAAAACACCTTTCCCTAGCTGTCTTGAGGTGGGCTCCAATACTTCACTGAGTTCGATGGCGACAAACCAGGTAGTATCATGGGTCAAACCCAAACGTCATAATACGTACCTAGCAAGCAACATACTATTTAATAACCTACTATCCCATATCTCGTTTCTACTACACACATATGTCTTTCATGATTCATTATCAAACGTGTTTTACCAAGCTACTTCAACGTAACCAAGCTTCAACCGCTAATGCTGAAACGTTGCTTGACACCTATCATCATCATTTTCGAATTACCCCTCTTTATCTTCTATTTAGCTCGCTGATTTTTTAACTGACAAAAAATAGATTTTTTAGCTAGCACAGCGCATACCTTTGTGGTGTAAGCATGAGGCATAAACGCAGCAATTATTTTATTGCCTAATAAGTGGCCTTGTTGGCGGAGCGCTGACGTCGAGGTTTGGAAATCTGCCATGAACTCAGCGAGAAGCACTTGCTGACGCTGAAACTGCGCGGGTCGCTACGCTGCTATGTGAACACGACGTTTAGAAAAACGCTGCCGTAACAGAAAGGCAGAACCCCAATAGACACAAATGTCTTTTATACTGATGTTATTAAGAAGGAAAACGAGTAACATGTGCAAGACGACGTCTCGCGGAAACGCACAGAACAATATCACATGAGAAGCTTACGCGGTTTGAGATAGTGCATATACGTAGTTATCCAAAATGAAATTATAACCTTTCGAAAGGGTTAGGTCTACACAAACCCATTAAATGGATCTGATGATGGTTTTATGTAACTTTAGCAACTTTTTTTTTTTTTTAGATATTTTACAAGTAATGCTTAGAAATGGTAAAGTCGCACCAACGTACACTACGTGTACGTAAATGGAACAGAAATAAAATACGATCTGTTTCGAGAAGTCCAATGCACATATGACTTCGAACGTTTAGGCTAGTGGCCGTTCACTGAGGAAATTACGTACGCAAAAATAAACAGTTACCAAATAAAAGAATCTGCTTCTACAATAACAGAATTTACTACTGAATCACAAAAGACCACGTGGAAGCTTTAGCGGTACACGTCTAAAAATAAAGAAAGTCGGCCAGAAGTTGCACACTTACAGCTACAAAAATATTCATTTAATGGTTTTCGGTTCCTTATGCAAAACTGTACCCTGATATGAAAACTCTTCTAATCCAATCTGACCGGTAAAATAAAGGGGGCGCCATTTAAGCTATACCATAGTAGAGTATCACCCCCGCAAGTTACCGCAAAGCAGCCTGTAATACCACACTCGTAGCAAGAATTCTATAAAAATCAGTCTACGCGTTCCGGTTACTGGTTGTTCTAAATGAGGCAATCTGTTTAAGAACCAAAAAAAAAAAACTTATAAACTAAGCGTGCGATACTTCTTTTTGTTTTTCAAAATGTATTTTTTCAGAGTATGCATTGACAGCCAATGCATGGCGTTGTTTAAATGCATTAAATGTTAAATTTGAATGCAATAAGTATCTGTGAAGAGTGAAATTTGTGTTGAAAATATGTTGTATAATTTTAATAGGATTCGTTGTAGCAAGGTTTTCGTGACTGCGTCAACGAAATTTATATAAGGGCTGGGCGGGGTAATTGCATATAACGATGCAGGTATAGAGCAACGTTTTGTCGTTGTGCAGCAAAGTTGTTACTTTAGTACTCAACCGTAGCAGGCTAGAAATATTCTTTTTTTTTTTTTTCCTGAAACCTAATGAGTATCAACATCCTTTTCGATAGATGGCGTGGTCTCCCGTACTGTGGGAACTAATTTTTTACATATTTTGACTAGGAAGCGAACAACAAACTGATATTAAAAACTCGATATAAAAAAAATGTACTGAATTGGAAATTGAATTTAAAACCCTGGTGACCTCTTGTGTCGTTTACTGAAATGTTTTAATTTATAGTTTTCGATGATGCTTGCAGATATGGTTTGACTCGTACTCCTTGATTAAGACTAGAATCTACCTACACGACGAAAGTTCTGCACGGGTAGTTTTAAATTTTGTTTTTCTCTAAAAGTTAAAGGGAAAATCTGTCTCCTTAACAGAAAACGACAAACGCTGTCTCTTGACCCGGCCGCTAAAGTTATAGAAACCTTTGGAAAAGAACTGCTGTTTGCATATTAGCTTTACGTCACCCAAGAATAACGTATTGTATGTAGTATGATTTAGATAAAACAAAGAAAGCTATGACATTTCCGAAGATGCAAAGTGTTGGGTTTATACAGTCAGTTTGACTAAACACATATACCTGACATTTTTCCTTGACCTATACCCTTGGCCTGCAGTGCCTTCGAACTGCCGCCTTTAGGCTCTGTTTGACATTCACTACTACGAAAGTCATAAGACTTGCGCGGTTGACTTGTTCACAGTTCTGTATATATTTATAGAATGATTGAGATCCGATTAAGTGTAATTTTCTTATGCCGTAATAATTGTTGATTGGAGCGATGCCTTGGATGTATTGTGACCTTAACAGCATACCCAGGTGGCGTGTTGGCGAGGCTTGCAGCCTTCAGCTCGCTGTGTAAAAGGAGGCGGGCAAATCAAGAACCCGATATGTACGAGAAGAGATAAATTCTCATAAGTTATCTTAAATAGCTCTATAAATTACTTATTATCATTAACAGAAGTTGAGAATATCGCTAATATATTGTAATAATTTTCGGGCCACTTCTGCGTAGCTTTTATTTGTCGTATTTTATATTCAGCTTTTTCAGTATACCTACAGCATTGATATCGCGCGTTTCGGTGTCGTCGAATAGCGTAGATCGTCAGCCATGAAGAAAGGTTTATATCGTAGGTCGTTGTATACACCAACTTAGTTGTGTTGTTTTAAATGGCTTTTTTTGTTTTAACAAAGGTTAAATGAAAGACAATATTGCAGACATCCGTTGCACCCTTTTAACCATTACCATCTTGCTACAACGGCTCACAGGAACACGATTTTTGAAACAAAAAAAAACGCGGACTCCAATATCTATTATCAGTTTCATATATATATATATATATATATATATATATATATATATATATATATATAAAAGCGCAAAATAAATCCAAAATTACTTAATCAGTAGACTAGCTTCAAGTGCTTAGTTTAACAGAAATGCGTAATATATTGGTAAGTATTCATTATATCCAAATGATAAATTTGTGAGTGAATTTCTTATCAACTCATCTTATTAGGATTGTTGCCT